TGCCAAACATCCATCCTTACTGCTTGTGCGGCTGATCAGTTCTCCAGGGCTTTCTGCGATGTCAACTTTGAGCAAGATCAAATGAGAAACAGCTGCTGAACGCTGTGGTAGTCAACTGCAAACTGGGCTGAGTAATGGGATCTTGGAGACCTAACTGAAATATTACCCGTAGTAAATATCTGGATCAAACATAGGGAAAAGAAACCAACAAAAGCAGTGTTACTTCACAGTGTGTTAAAGCATGCTGCTGAAGAGCACAGTCTTTAAAAGGATTGTCCTGATACTGCTTTCAGAAACGTTTGGTCCTGGAGCTTTTCATATCGGCAACTGTACTCTGGTGAGACCAAGGAATGATCTGGCATAGTGTCGGTTTGCTGGCAGGTAGGCAGGAATAATTCTTCTTCTGTATGTCTTTCCAGTAATCAGCTGGTGATTGCATCAATATTGTTAAGTCCTTTGATGGATATATAAAAGCTATACTCTGAATATGTCTAATTACTCTTTGAACGCATTTCCGCTTTGGAGCTCACAGTGTCTTTGGCACAAAGCTTCGTAACATAATGTGGTGGTTGTTTCTTTTCTGCTTTTAAGTCCACTGCTCAGTAATTTCATCCAACACTCTGTATCTCATCTGCAGTAAGAGGTGACAAATGTTTGCTGTCCATTTCTCCATATCATTCATGACTTTATGGAACTGTTGTATCCTCTGTTTTCCCTTTTCAGCTGAAAATCTGAGTTATTTGATATTTTCTGAGTGGTTGCTGTTTCATTCTTGTTATATTTGTCCCCTTTCTATTTGCCTTTTCTGTTTACTTTTTAGATGGTGACACCAGAATCGCATAATACATTTTCGTAGTGCTGTAATGGTAACTTGTTTTGCTCTTAAATGTTCTTGCCTTTTTGCCTGCTGCAGAGCATTGGGTACTACACTGAAGGTATTGGCCCACACTAAGCCCGAGGGTTTCTTGTTTGATAACAACTAAACTAAATCCTGTCATGTTGTGTGTATAATTAGGGTTGTTTTTTCCCGTATGCATTGCTTTGCATGGGATGACTTTGTTGCAGACTTAAAACTCATCTTCAGGGACTTCCTGTCTGTAGGGTGAGTTTCACTGGAGAAACACTGAGTTCCTGGTTTGTTTGGGGTTTTTATTATTATTTGGAGAAAAGAAAAAAAACTTCCTCTCTTCAGTGCAGCTGGGATTCTTAAAGCTCTGGGACTTTCTGGACCTCCTCGTCTCACGTTGGACAAATTCTTAAAGGAGAGAAACCTGGCGTGCCAAACCGTTTATCTGCAGAATGACACACAATCTTCCTGTTTTCTCAGTTGTGAAGGGTGTTTACTACAGTGAGTCAGAGTTGGAGAGCCAAACGTGCAGCAGAATCGACCCATCGGTGAAAAGGCACATTGGAGCAAAGGTGCTGGTGCTGTGTATGTACTTTGGCTTCAGCAGTTCTCGTTGCTATTCCGGATCAGCACGTGTTGCTCCTATAAGAATGTTTGTTCTGATAACCCTTGCTGTGATTTCTGTTTAGGGTTGTAGCTCACCAGTCAGGGCTCATTTTGTAGCTAAATATTATCTGTTGAAGCAAGCCGATACTACTCAGTTGTTTGGCTTCTTTAACATGGGGTTTTATGTTTAATCTTCCTGCAGAAGTTCCATGTCTGATGTGTGCTTTTTATGCCGTAATTTAAAGCCTCCTGGAGATATTTTTACTGTCCCACAGCTTGTGATATCAGGATATGCGCAAGTAGAGGAAATGATGATCCATCATGAATATTTACACCAGTAAATGCGCGTGACACAAATACACTGCATGTTGTCTGTGCAACTTGCACACATGCGTCTTGGCAAGAACATGCGATCAGCAGCAGTGCCACAAATAGATGCTTCAATAGGAAGCAGTGGTGGCGGTGGTAAAGCTAGATCTTGCGGTAGGATGTGGTTAGAGTGCTGTTGATTCACAATTTTACATTATATACAGGTTAAGCTAATGTAATAAAGCTTGAATGTTTCCACTGAAAGAATGCTGGGTAAAATGTTGAATTGGATGGGGGGAAGGCATGCTTCTGAGCTATATATAGTGTTTCACCTATTTATCTCTTGGGTGCCTAAAAACGAGGTAGTTGGGTTCTTTATTTTTGCATCGTGAGCTTCAAATGATGTCCAGGGAAGGCTGGACTTTAAAAAAACAGAATCCAAAACCAAAACAAAATCCAAGCTATCTATTAAATATATTTTCCTTTTGCATTTTTCCAGAGGTTTTGTCTCTGTTCTTACTGGTTGGAGTAATTGCTTTAAAATTCCCAAGCTTAGTAAAATGAAGAAAAATGAATTTTTATAAAAAGGTAGGGGGAGGGACCTGCTTGCTAGATCTGACTGCGCTTCAAACCATCGGCTCTCCTGCAAGTCCCCTTTCCCTGGGAATAAGTCTCTGAGCGCACTGGAGCGTGAGTGTAGATAGGAGTGACACAAGTAATCACGCTCTGAGGCCCCGGGAGCGCTGTGCGGTGATCAGCGCTGGCTTTTCTCAGAGCTCACTTTGCCTTCTTCACTGGGGATTTCCACTCATTTCGGAGCAGGTGTCGTTAGTGCAGCTCTGCCTTAAACTGCTAATCTAGCGAGTACATTTATGATGGCATTAGTGAGTTCCTGGTGTAGCTCTCAGGGCATAGCCAAAGTGCTGCCTTCGGTTAGTGCACTGCTATTTATTTGCCTCCCTCCCTAGAAAAAGTGGCGTCGGAATGTGATTCTGTTTGATTGCCGTTAGCCACAGTAATATGAAATATTACAAATGCTATCTCTGTTCTATGTTAAATGGACAGTTGAAATGTTTGGGGAGCTATTGTGTTAAGATTATTTGAGTAGAGGACTTGGTACTCTGCCTGCAGGCAGCATCTGGGAGTGATGATTTCTGATTCTCCACTTCAGGTTCAATTGTGGTTTGTGTGCTGGCGAAGTCTGGGTGGCTTGATTTATTGGTTATGTTATCATATAACATAATGGAGGATCTTGAGTTTGGCGCTGCTGATGCTATTTAAATTAGAAGACTACTTCCTTAAGTATTCTTCCACCATCTGCACAAGAAATAGAACCGTCCTGTAAATAATCTGGTTTGGTTTCTACTTGATGAAGTTATGGCTTTTAGTCCTGAAGTACTGAGCCTTTATGTACCATGGATTAACGGAGTAAATGATCTGAAACATGGTGACTCCTCAATTACGAGCTATCTTCAGTTGGTAACACCGGAAAGTATTCTGAAGGCTTTCAGTGTAGTTCTTACTGCCTGGTGGTTTGTCTCATGAATTCCCTCATCGTTTAAGACAGGATTCATTTTTCTGAGAGTTTGTGAATTATGTAAAAACCGTAAGGGGCTTGACTCTCTATTGCCAAGTAACCGTTACTGTCTCTTACATCCGCTTTGCATTACCATAACACATTGCTGTTCTGCTTTGGGAGCATTTGGGACCCACCTGATGCAAGGCTAACCTGCCGTGTGGTGCAAGAAAAGTTTCAAATTCTGTCTTCTAACACTTTTAAGGTTAAAAACAAAATATAACCTCACTTCAGTTATAAAACCCCCCAATATTCTTGGGGGTTTTGTCCTCCAACTCTTCCTAATTTCACTGGTGTTGCAAACTAAAACTCCTGCAAGTCATCCTTGCTGGTGATGTTGCTGGTTCCCAAATCTAACCCAGCATCTGGAATTCAAGAGGGATCTGTGCGCTGTACCTGATGTAACCACAACTATGAGGCAATAACATCAACAGCATGAACTTTGTAGCAGTGCAATAACTTTTTTTTATCAGTTCCAGTATTCCGAGGCTGAGGTTAAAGTCCATTTTGCCAAATGCTGTTTTAAAGTGTGGGTGCGTGGGCTGGGGAGAGTCAGTATCTTGCAGTGGAATTGATCTAGGAATGAGTCCAATGCTCAGCCTTGCAGAGGCATCCTGTTTCCTTTTGAGAGGAGGGAGGAAGGATAAATTTATGTGGGGGCTGATCCTTTTGTGTTCAGTGATGGGATGGAGAAGATCTAGTCTCTGAGGAGCAATGTAGAAAGTACCCTGTCTCTAAAGTTGCTCGCTGGGTTCATGCCACATTTTTATAGTGACTACTGTCGTTAAAGATCGTCTGGTAAATGGTTCTTGCTGTCCTGATGTGAATTGCTGATCTTGGAGCAAAATTACTCTGAAAATTCTTTGTTTCATCACAGTTTATGCCGACATCTTCTCTCCAAATACTTCTCTATGTGTCCTTTTTCAGGGAACAAAAGCAAGAGAAACTTAGATCAAAATACATAGCTGCTCTTTACTGTTGTTTGCTTACTTCTGTGTCTGTGATAGCTCAGGGTAAAGGTTTTGAGGTACCTTGGGACCTCATGAGAGGTCCCATTGCTGCTCCCCAGTTCTCCCTGGGGGATAACTAGACTGTTAGCTATTTGGGATGGAGGCCCAAAGTCACTTCCGTGTGATACAAGTGGGCTACTGGTTTAAAAGCAGAGTCTTTTTTTCCCTTTATCTCCTGCTATGTCTGGCTATATATTTTCTTCCCATTTTGCTAATGCTAGTGTTCGTGCAGACACATGGTGAGACAGATTAAGGAGCTGATCCAGCTGAAAAGTAACCCATTTTAGTAAGGGAGTGGGAAAGGATTTGTTTGGGGAGTGTTTGCTGGTAATTGCTGGCACAGGGAGGCAATATGAATGAGGGGGAGGGAAAGACGCTGCCTCTTTTGCAGCAGCCTGTGCTTATGTTGGATTAAAGTGACTCTGGGCCCACACCCATGGTCATTGTTGTAAATTGGCTGGCAGTAATCTCTGCTGAACGATGCCAAGCTCCTCTCATCCCTGCTTTTGAACCTGCATGTAAGCACTGCTGTCTTCCTTGCCTCGGCTCCTCTGGGAGCCAGCAGTAGCGGTAGTCAGTCTGCATAATGGAGACTTGCTGCAGCGCTGAGTTTGCCCCTCTGCTCTCAGTGATTCAGGGCACCAACTGACCCATGCTCTGGTGGCAGACAAGTACCTGTGAAGTTCATACTGATTTGTTTCTCCTGTTTGTTTCCCTAGGTGATTTCTCTGGTCAGCTTTTAGCTTATTTGAGTCTTGGTCCAATATTCATTATTGTTGGCTTTGTAACACTCATCATATTCAAGAGAGAGCTTCACACGGTGAGTCCTTCTCTCCCTTCCCAGCTTCTCCATATGACCAAAGTCTTTTCCTTTGTAGCCTGATGCTCCTGTATTCACACTTCTTTTTCTCTCTTTAAAGAGCAAGCTTGGGTAAGGTGATCCTCCTGTCAAAGAACAGCAGGAGACACTTAGCACCTGTACCAGGTTAAAAGACTGCTTAGCCTTTGCTGACTTTTCTGTTACTCTGTGCTTCCTTTTTTGAATTACCTGTCCAAAAACATCGAGGGAAGTGTCTGAGGAACTAAAGAACAGTGTTGCAGAGTGGGAACACTCCCAAGATCCAGTAGGATCATAGCACTACTAGATTCCTGAAAGACGGGCAATGTATGCAGGAGATGGTGTCTGTAACTCAGTAGGGTGTGCTTTCTTTCAACTACTGAGGCAGAAAAAGGGGATACACTCCCTTGAGAATCTGTAGGTTTTATTTTGTGTCTGGAAGGGTTGCTTCCCAGTTGTGAATTGAATACCAGGGACAGAAGAGACTTCTGTTCTGTTGTATCCTTCTGTTATTTGGAGTTCTGTCCAAATAACCAGCAAGGGATTTTTTGGTAATACATAATGCTTTCTGTCTGCTCTGACAGGTAGTTGGGAATCAGTGTCATGGATAAATTCCCTTTAGGAGGTATAAACCTCTCGTAACATTTACCCTCAGTAAACAGATAAAATAAGGGACAGTGAGAGGATTTTGGCAGCAGATTTCTAATATAGGGCCATGGTGTCATGGGAACCAGTGGCTCAAGGGACCTGGGAATGGGAGTTCTAGGTTATTAAGCCGATGCTAGCTAGGAGAGGCAGCTGTAAAGTTTTGGCAACCCAAAGGTTTCTTGTTGACCCGAAAGAGAGAATAAGCTAGAGAATGTGCTATTGCACAATTTCATAGGTTTTTGAATACAGGGGCTTGTTAGGTGTTGGTAACGAGAGACAAGTGTTGATGTTGATCCCCAGTTCTTTATGTGGGAAGTCACCATTGAGGTGGAGAGAGACTCTGGCTGACTTGCAGCAGCCTGACCTATAGCTTGGGACAGAGTGAAAAATTGCTTCATCATCTGGAACGGGACTGAGTGTTAAGGAGGCAGAGTATCATCACCAGCTGGCAATTCAATCACAGCAGCAGGGCTAATTTAGGGGAGGTGTATGGACTATGGAATTAAAGAGTAAAAATAAATGCTACCAGTTCAGAATATGACTTCATTTTAGACCAAAGACAGCAACTTCAAGATGAAAATATTCATAGTCAAAAGCCAGAAAGCCTAAAAGGTCACCTTTTTAAAGCTATTTACCCAAATAACAGTGTGTGCGCTCCCCCTGTTGGTCGTCGGGGAAAGACAATCCCTTAAAACCTGCCCTGTTAAAAAATGTCACTTTTTACACTTGCTGGTGGAAGTATGCTAACAGAACTGCTGTACAGTGTCATTTTTGTCTGTTTCTGTGTATCATCTGTTGAAAAGCTGCATATACGCAGTGTGTTGCCAAATACACAAAGTGGGCTGGAAAAGAAATGCTTTTCTTCCTCAGCGCGAGAATTTTGAAACCATTGTTTTTAACTCTAGTAGTCAAAAAAGAAATCTAGAAACATATGGTTTGGAGTTTTGTCAACAGAGAGGGACTGGTAAGTAGATGGATCTTTTAGATAGGATGACACAATTGTCTTGCCTTCACAGATCTCATTCTTGGGAGGGCTGGCATTCAACGAGGGAGTGAACTGGTTAATAAAAAATGTAATCCGGGAGCCTCGGCCCTGTGAAGGTATGGTATGGCCCACTGGTGTCATGGTGTCAGTTGAGTTCTGAGTGGAATGCTGCTGTGGGGGGTTCGAGGGTATTTTCCCCTTTGCCTCGTGTTGGCTTTGGATGTTTGGGTGTAAGAAGTCTGGCAGAGCCATCTGAGCTGAGACGTGTCCTGTGAACTCATGTGTACATACTCCAGCAGAGTGGTCTGGCTTAACATCTGGAGCGTTCCAGCTACTATGTACAGAGTAGACCTTGACCATACTCTTTCTTCTTCTCTTCCCAGAAGCCCATTCAACAGTGACCACAAAATATGGGATGCCGTCCAGCCACTCCCAATTCATGTGGTTTTTCTCTGTCTATTCCTTTCTGTTCCTTTATTTAAGGTAAAAATTCAATGTCAGGTTTTGGCTGTTAATATGTTGAAACACCTGAAATAGATGGCTCCCTTGCTGCGTGCCACTTCAGTGGCATAATGGAATTAAATCTAAGGAACTGCACCATTTCCTGTGGCTAGGGTGGATGAAGCATGTCTATCTCAATCTGAATGTAGGACTGTAGTTACCACTGCTGAAAACTGAAGGGTACGGGTGGGCCTCCTATGCCTGTCTGGGTACAGGTCTCCTCATTTGCTTTTTCTAAGCTGTGATGATCCACCAGTGTGAGGGAAGAGGGGGGGAGCAGGGATGAGGAAAGAAGAGCTGCTTTTTCATGTGTCTACTCAGTTTCGTCAGTGGGGTTGTCTGCAATCTTTTAGGTAATACCTGTTGCCCACTTGCATGACCTTTTAGTTCATCTCCCTTACCAAGTACTGGTTTTACATGCTGTGCTGTGCTTTTCTGAAGTTCTTGCTGGGGCATGGCTCTGTCTTGTGGCTCCACGTGTGGAGGAAGACAAAACTCACAGTTCCTCCTAGCTTTTTTGGACAATGGAGGGGCTCTGGTGTCTTGGCTCCCTGTTGCATATGCTCAGCATGTGCCCCTCACATCAGTTGCAGCAATTGTGAGCATTCTGCTTTCCATCACAGCAATCCCTGTTAACGGTTGGAGAGAGAGAAGTGTGGCTTTCTGGCTTCTCTTTAACTGCTGCCAGTGGGACAGATTGCTGCTGGGATGGTATCGAGCTGCCCATGACCCCACTGGAGTAGAGCTTTCCTAGGGTTTCATAGATAGTGAGAACAGAGATAAGGACTGCTCAGCTCCCTGCCACTGTGCTAATGGCTCTCCATCTCTTTCAGAATGCACCAAACAAACAATGCGAGGTTTCTGGATTTACTATGGCGACATGTGCTGTCCATCTGCCTCGTCACAGTGGCTTTGCTAGTCTCATATAGTAGGTATGGAGCAATTGTTTGTCTTATGCTCTCATACAGTCCTGTGGCCTTTAACAGCCAGCAGACCTGTCATTCCTTATCCTGCATTTCTGATCTAATTCTCGACGACTGCATTGTACAGGTCGGAGCTTTGCGGAAGTTGCTGTGTTGCCATGAGACCGTTCAAATAAGCAAAGGTGCTACATGTGTGGTGCTTCACAGAAGCACTTCTGAAACCCAAGATCAGCTGAGCTTGTACCAGTTCCCCACAGGCTCCATCGCCATGCTCTAGCCTCACTGCCTCGCCCTCTTCCAGCACTAACCATGAAAGCGTTGCACCATGCCTTGGCACACCAGCATCTGCAGCATGTGGATTGCTACAGTTGATCAATCTGATTGTTTTGCTTGAGCATTAGTCAATAAGCACATTTATAGCTCTTTGACGTGCAAGAGTTAGTTGTATTAAGATGAATAAAGAAAACGAAACTTTAATAATGATTTTTTTCTCTTTAGTAGATCTAAAAAAAATTATATGCACGCATATAAAATGAGCTCCAGTGATTGGAAACTAGACAAATTCAGGGTAGAAATAAGGCCATGTTTTCCACAGGAAAGTAATTACTTGTTGGCACAGTTGACTGTGCACTAGAGCTGATTCCTTATTACTGGTTACTTTTAAAATTCTGACAGGACAATTTCATAAGAGATATATGGTCTAATTCAAATAAAAATTCATTTGAGGAAATCCAGTGGCTTGTGCTAGGCAGAGGGTCAGATAAGATGATCTTAATGGCTTTATGGTATACAGGTGAAAATAATTTTGAACGTGACTCATGTAGCTTGTGTGCACGGATAACTTAACAGGCCATTAATACAGCTTTCTGAGTGGCTGCAATCACCGTAAGCCCACTGTGGTAGTGCAGCCTTCGTGCTGTCACATTTCAGAGCAGCAAAATCGTAACAAAAATGCTGTCTATGTTCTTAAAAGCCTTTAAGCCCCAGCGGTGGTGGCTTGGAGAGCACTTGTCTTATTCCTGGCTTTGGAAAAGTCTCTTGTGGGAACCAACAGTCATAGTTCCTCAGCTAATCCAAAGACCTATGAAGAAGAATGTGGAGGGTTATTGAGTTAAGACCAAACTAGAAGCGCTCTGAGCTGAAACTGCTGTAGCAAGAGACAGTTTTCCCAAGGTTTTTCCCTACTTTTTTTTTTTGCCAGCTTTTTAATGAAAAAAGTAAGATATCCATGTTTAACATCTGGAAGATAATTTGCTCAGAATGTCCGAGGGTCCACTGAAACATCTGCCCTTGAGTCATGCATCCTCTTGTTTTAAAGCCTGTCTGGTGACTCTTCTCTTCCACTGCAGGGTTTATTTGCTTTACCACACCTGGAGCCAAGTCTTATATGGAGGTGTGGCAGGAAGCATTATGGCCATAGCCTGGTTTGCCTTCACACAAGAGATATTAACTCCTCTCTTTCCAAGGATAGCTGCATGGTAAGTCTCTTTATTCTATGGCGGTTTTACTCCTGCAAGTCTGCATTCTGTGGATTGCTGTTTTGCTCATTAACTGAATCCCTTGCAATGAGCTGGTATAGTAGAATTGCCTGGCAAAAGAAAATTTTCCTAATCAACCAGTGTAAAAATTGTACCATGCATCTGAAGCAAAACAAATATAAAGATACTTCAGTCTCCAAAATTTTAGTTGTAGCTATGCAAGCCCTGACTGTAAATGGGCTGCTCAAACTTCTGTGAACCATCTAAGTTACAGATGTCAGAAATGAGAATTCCTGGGTTCTGTTCCAGTTTTGCATACAGACTCTTGTGTAACCTACTTGTTCCTCTCTGTTTTCTTGTGCATGCGTATACAAAGGACCATATAATCTTGCCTGATACGGGTTGGGGAGAGAGGAGTTTTAAGCAACTGTTATGTTTGTAAAGCCCTAGTAAAGTTGTGAGGTGTGGCAGAATGCTGGAGAAGCTTTTCAAGCAGAACAGACCTTTATAATGAACATTTGATGATCTAGTGAAATTGCAAAGGCATTTAAATGTAATATAGTCTGGAAACATTGTATAAGGAAAGAAAAAATGAAGAGGTTGTTTTTTGGGTTTTTTTTATTAAATTTAAGGAGCTCCTTTCCCAGACTGAAGGGTAATAGAATAGTAATGTTAAATCTGGAACATTTTTTGTGCTATTTTATTTTGATCAAAATTTTGATGGAGAAAAAGTCTAATTATTTCCTCTCTTCCGCCACCTTGTCCATTTCCAGGCCAATTTCAGAGTTCTTTTTAATCCGGGATACCAGTCTCATTCCTAACATCCTGTGGTTTGAATACACAGTCACGAGAGCAGAGGCAAGGTACGTGATCTTGGGGGGTGGAGGAGCTGGTTTTGCTTATCAGATGTAGTTATTAATTTATTTTCTAATGTGAAGATAGCTGCTGTGGGTAGAATAGTGCAGACTAAAGAAATACAAAGTTGTGCGTTAACTACTGCATCTGGAAGGTGAGTCTGTTGGGGAATGTTTGGGATTAAAGACTGTTTCATTTAAATAATCAGTATTTTGGCTCCCTAGCCCATGCTCTTTGCAAACAATTGTTTATAATCTTGCATCCACATGTGAGCTTGTGCACACTTAAGACACAGTGGATGTTCTGGCACTGTAAAGAGTAGGAAGGACCGATCTCCCTGTAGAGTACGGTGGGGGCAGCTTTATTGTTGCGTGGAGCTAAGCAGAGCCTTGTTTTAATCCTCCTAGCTTTTGCCCCCTGGTTTGCGGCAATACCCGGTGATAAGGCTGGGGCCCTCTCTCTCACCCTGCCCTCTGTGTTGCCGTTGCAGAAACAGACAGCGCAAGCTGGGTACGAAGCTCCAGTGACTCGGGAAGCGTGGGGACCAGAGTGCACGTTTTAACGGAGACAGACAAGAGCAGAGACCTGGGAGCAGCAAGGAGCCTTTTAACAGACGGACCAAAGGAACAGGCAGGGACCATACCCAAAACCTGAAAGCCTTTGCTCTGCTTTAGCAGCTAGCTGGATGCTCCCTGATGCATGTGGGACCGTGCAGGAGTAGAAACTCATTTTCAACACAGATGCACACTGCTGGTTGGAATGTACCATCATGTCTACGTCAGGGGAGGGGGGAGAAAATGCCTGGTGTCATGTTCGGGGGAGGGAAAACCAAAAATGAATCCTTTCTGTGACTTTTCTTTTTTTCAGCATGAAATATACACACTATTTATTTATTTTTTTAAATGGAACTATTGTTTTTGGGGTGGGTGAGGCATTGATTGTGTGTATTGTTTTTGCTTTTTGTTTGGTTTTTCTTTTTGGAAGAAGATGACAAAACTAATCTCAAGTTGATCATGCTCACTTAGGGCTTTTAATTTCTAAAAACTTCTTAGGAGGGAGGGGAACTAGGATGGGGTGACCTAGGCAGAAAGGGAGAGGAAGGCTTCCTTTCCTTTCTGCAATCAGTTTGGGAGATCAAAATCCATTCCAACTGCACTTTGTACAGATGGAAAGAAAGACTAAAGATCTGATTTTTAACACTAGTGACGGTTCTGCAGGGAAGCCTGCATGGATACCATTAAGGGGAGTGTGTGTGTAAAACAAAGGAAAAACTGAAATATACTGACTATTTTTTTTTTCCACTGCTGCTCCTGTTGTGTAATTAGCAAGAGTCTCTTTCTCAGAATCTCTTCTAGGTGGCAAGATTATCATACATCTTATGTTTATTCCATTTCTTCCTTTATACTTTTATTACCTCAGGGTTGCTGTGATCTGTACAGCTTCTGTTGTTGTACTGAGTGTGCTACTGATGGCACTAGAAAGCCCATTGGTTATAAGCAGTGCTGTGCTCCAGTAAGAGTCGGCCCAAAGCCTTACAAAATTCAGTTGCTAGTCTCTGTCTTAAGTCTTTTGGTTTTGTTTTTTTTTTTTCTGTTAAAGCTTAAGGGAGGGATTTTTAAGAATGAAAAAAGTGACAACCATAAATGAATAACAAGGCAAATGACTAATAACTAGCTCAGCTGCTGTCTGAATTATTTCTCAAAGAATTCTTTTAGAATCCAACCGTGAACTCAAGTAGCGACCTTGTCCTAGCAGAGACTTCTACGTTACAGTGGCTTGGCTGGGGTTCTGCAGTAGTAACCTGAATGCCGAACTCCTTCAAGCAAGTTTTGCTTTCCATCCTTCTTCCATTCTGATTCTTCGTTTGGCCGGTCAGCTCTCTGGATGCTCTGTCTCTGTGGGAGTGTGCCTGCCATCTGTGTGTGCTGGTGATGCCTACAACTTCTGTGATCCATGAGTTAACCTGGCAAGGGCTCTACTCAAAGTGCTTCAGGGCTGTGCATGGACACTTTCTGTATTTCTGGTATATAATGCAGCAGTTCAAGTGTAACTACAGGGGAGTATTTATTCAAAGCACAACTGACTTGAACTTTCACAGATAAAGGACAGCTTCAGAACTGGCTCAAAGGTCATCGGTGTGCCTTCGATGCAGTCATGTGAGCAGAGGTAAAATGACTGTCACATCTCGGTGTCGCTGCCTGTTTACTATCTCCACTTTAATCAGACTCCTGCATTATAAAGCTGCTTGAAGTGAGATGTGTTTCTGTTCATCTTGGTTATTTTTATTTTTTTAAGTTTTCATCTGTGCCTGTTGCCGTAGGAGTTTGTGTGTTCATATGGAGTGGGAGCTGCTGTAGAAAAACTGTTGGACAACCAAAGTGTTAACTGTAGAAAGCAGTGATTCTGACCCAGGAGACCAGGAATGAAGGCTGTTTAAATTTCTGTGTTTAAGTAGCTATGGGCAGTAAACTAACTGTTTTCAGTTGTTACAGCAAATATCTTTTTTCTTTTCTTTTCTTTTTTTTTTTTTTAAAGAACTGTTTAGTATTTGCATAACATGAGCAATCCTGTTAACATCCGAAGGACCTGAGCACTGGATCTGCTTTGAAGGTGCATCAGAATAAATAGATGCATCAGAATAAAGAGGCATCTTGCAGGTTCCACAAGGACATTTGATCTGACTTAGATCAGCTCTATTAAAATGAGACGGGACATTAGATAGGCCACATCACATGGTGACACCAGTTTGAAAGCTGGTACTAATCACTTATTTCTTGCAAAACTATTTCTTTTCTTTTTGTACCTCTTGTAAGTTAACTTATGAAGCCAGAACAACTCTCTTCCCCAAGGACAAGGCTGAAAGAGTGGATTGTTTCAAGAGTGGCTAGCACTTCCATAGCCTCTCGTAAGCTGTTATGACAGACCGCTGGAAAAACTATGCGTGGAAGCACCTATTGAGAACTAGAGCATAGGGGAGAGGTTTCATCTCCTCATGGAGAGCAGTGTAGTGCAAAAAGCTATTCCACTTCATGTTGCCTTCAAACCCAAGCTTCCTACAGTAATTCTTAGGAGTAAGGGAAAGGAAGAAGAGCTTTTGTAAGACACTGTAATATACTCTCCTCTGTTCTCTGTGAGTTGTTTGTAATCTGCATCTTCTGCCTACTTTTGCTGTACCTTTCCAGAAATCTTTGCAATACTTGATAAAGTAGAAATTCCTTAGTGATCCCATGGATTTTCTTAACTAAATGGTGCTGTGCAGGAAAAGATTTGAGCTCTGCCTTATTATCCTACACTTGTATGACGTCTCCTGCCACTAGTTTCTGAAATGGAATATTTTCTTTGGAATATGTGGCTTTGCAAGCAGATGCTTTCTATTCCTCCCCTGTACTCAAGGGGGCTGGATGGAGATACTAAGACAATAAAAGGAAGGTGACAATGCTGTGGTTCACTGTTCTTGCTGTCCCCACACAAACATCCTCCCATAAGGGTAGTTATGTAATGTCTGCAGTGTCTAAGGAGATTTAAGCCTTTTTGTAGCACTTATCTGTTTATTGTGTTTCATTTTATTCAAAGAACATTTCAAAACTTTGCATGACATGGATTACACTACCAAAACAGTATTTAACACAGCTAACCAGCAAAGCATGCAACACTACCAGGCTGTGTCATAAATTGCACTCATACCCCAAGAGTTATCTGAATATTTTCAGTCTATGCATTTCTTAAATTATTTGTTCCAAATCGGTAGTTTTTCTGGAACATAAGTTTCTTGTACTTAATGTGCCTTTAAGACAATGGACATCTCTTGATGAGACAATCAGAAACAGGGAGGAGAACAATATTCAGTAAGCCAACACCAAAAAAATCAAGAGGGTATGAATCAGAAGGACATCACATTTTAGAACTTGTACAACAACAACAAGACTTTTTAAAGGAAAAACCTTGTGATGATTTTAGTGTCCTTTCAAGCACTTCAAGAATGAGCTTCATTCATCTGAATTTCAGCTCTGTATATCATTAAGGATGCATTAAGTGGTTTATGAATCTTGTATCTCTTTCTGCTTCTTGCGGCTGTACTCTGCTGAAGCTAGTGGGATATCCAGAATAGAATAATCCCATCTTCTGAGATACAGGCACAGCAGTGCATACTTCTGCTTAATCTTTAATAGGCACTTTCCTTTGAGAGCCTTCCCTTTCGAGGAGACAGAAGTAGAAAAGGGCCAGTCTCAAATACTTAAGTGGCAATACTGTAGCATCAGTGGTTGAAGGCATTGCAGACAGGGAAAAATAACTCATCCCCTAGCAAGAGAGGTTGATTCAGTACAGGGGGAGGATTACTTTGGCAAAAGGAATATTTTTTTCAATGTAAAAGGCTCCATAAACTCAGATGTTATTCCAGCAAGGTTTGGTCTTTTATGTAGTACTTACACAGTCATTTAGACGGTGATAATACTGAGTATCCTCCTGCAATTTTCAGTCTAATTCATACAGAGTCAACAGAGCAGGGATGCACGTTTACAGCTTTGTAGTGCTCCTGTTGTGTTTTTTTTTTTTTTTTTTAAACTATCTCACTCCATTCAGGATTCTTCTAAAAGATCAACTAAATCCATGTAGATGATGTGAAAGTGGCAGTTCATACAATCACTGGCTGTGCAGGTGAGTTTCAGTTAAATTTTCCTTTTTAAGGTTTATTTAGGTATAAGATAGAAGCTTTGAAATACCATCCTTTTAGGAAAAAAATGCAGTAGTGTTGGCTTGTGTCTTTCAAGAAGCAAATTAGAGACTTTTTTTCTTTTACTTTAAACAGGTTTAGTGCAAATTTCCTCATAGATGTTCACCAAGGCACTTTGATCATGTGCTTTGCTGTTCTATGGTCAAAAAAATAGCAGTTGTAATCGAGTATTTCCCTGGAACAACACAGGCCATCAGACTCCTAATGCTGCTTGTTTAGGGTGATGTCCCAGCAGCCACATCTTGAAGGGTGTGCAATTTAAATATGAAATTCCTGTTGCAGAAATAGCACTAAAATTCTTCGTTACCATATGGTTTTACTAAATAAAATTATAGTTAGGAGCTTGGATTCTGGCAAATTCATTGGAAGTACTGCTTATAAAAATTCTTACGCTAAAATTGTATGTTAACATTTATAATCTTTTACTGTCTCAAGTTTGTCAACTGAACATGAAAACGCTATCATGAGATCATGCTCTCACAGAATAGAGCTGGTACAAATCTGAGTAACATGGCAGCAAGAAAAAAAACCTCCAAGAGTGGCAGAAAAGGTGCCGTACTGTTACTGCAGGAACAATGACTGCCACAGTGGACAAACATCTACAGTGACCGCATGTTCTCAGCTTTCTTCCTGCTTTTCAAGATCTTCTGCCTTGTTAAAGCAGAGTGATGTGAAAGAAGGGTGTTTCTGCAGCTGTTTTTCCTTTGGCTCTAACAGATTTGAACTCTGTGGGCCAGAAATGGAAGTACGTTCTAGAGTTCCTGATCAGAAAAATTCTTATTTGTCCACAACTTAGGTGTAACACATCATGCACAAATATGTTGTTCCTGAAAGCAAGGTATAAAACCACATTGGATTAACACGTGTGCCCTGAAGACTAGGCACGTGGCCTTCTAGGTAGTAAACAGGAGGTCGGCATCTGTTTCTTTTCCTCAATTCCAAAGAAAGGTGCAATGAAATAAGCCTTCTGCTAAATCCGTAGGCAATCCCTTCTCATCTCTGCAAATGTCAAGGTACGTAAAGCCCAAGCTTGCAAAACCTGTGCGAGAGCAAAGTTTTGCAGAAGCTTTGTGGGGAAAAAGCTTTATGCTGAGCCTGCAGATCAATGGCTAGGACCACAACAGCAAGCTTAATAAAAAGCCCAGAACAACAACAACAAAAAACCCACCTTAGTTTGTAGCAAATGATATTCTGTTGTTAATAGGGTCAGTGCAACAGACAGGAGATCCCAGCATCCTGAAATGAGGGGAAGGGAACATCCCCAGGCCTGTAAAGGATCTAATGGTTGGAGTGCCTGGGATAAGTAGTGCGGTGCACTCTAAGGAGACTGGATCTGCTCTGACTTAAGATCTTCTTTCTCCCCTTGCCAAAGTTCAATGGTGACATTTTGCTGGAGCAGCAGAAAAATCTTCAGTCAAGTTTGAAAGATGCTGCACTCTTCAGAGGACTAAACCAGCAAAAAGACTTGGTCTTACAGTAGTTCCATCATATAATAAACATTCCCTGCTTTTCCTGGAGAACTACCTTCCTCACCAAGTGGATTTAGGTACTGGTACGGACTGTGCTTTCTGTATTCCTTTACAGTAAGTTCCATAAAAAAAATCATATTTCAGTCCTCTTTGAGGACAGGAAGGTGCACTTTGCATTGATGGGAAAGGATCGGTCAGTTCTACTTCAGCTTAAGACAACGTTTGCTCTCACCACAGAGGCTAATACCTGTGGATGACCATTCTGTAATCTCTTGCTGAAAACACATGGTAGATACCCTCCTAGGCTCCAGTCAGGGCAAGCTGTCCCCTCAATCATTTTCTGAGCAACTGGAAACTTCAGTGCATGAGGAATAGCCCCCTTTAGCTGGGGCTTTTGCATCACGTTTGCCTTTTACAGTTTGGATTTGGGAGTGGACTGGAGCAAGATCCTCATGTCTAGCAGTGCTTTCTCAAGATAATGAGACATGCGGGCTGCGTTTGTGTCGGCACAGCTGTTGAATGCCGAAATTGCAAAGTTGATGTGTTCATCCATAGGGTTGTAACAGACTCCATAGCCATCTGGAACCACGGGACCAAAACACATCACACAGTCTGTCTTTGCTGGGACCTGTGGAGACAATGTGATTAAAAACTTCTTAACCAGCTAGACAGAAACGTAGCCATCAAATGCTAACAGCTCTGCCAACAGTAGAAGAAACTGCCACCTCATGGAAATGCTCCAGAAGACGACCTTTTTGGTCAGACCCACCTACCACCACACACGTGCTGGATTCTGCCATTTAGTAGCAATGTGTTTTCCTATGTATTTGCAAAGGAGTACTTCTTCTCCCCAAGATAAGCTTGTAATAAGTCACAAGCAGAACTATATCAGTAAGAATCACAGCAGATGAACGTAAAGGTATTCTGGCAGCTAACTTCAATTGATATCACTTGCAGATAGACACCAAACCCTTCTGGTGATCTTGGCCTTGGTTATGCTGGTGTTTTACAGGGTTGAGAGGGACTGTGGCAGCTGTAAGATCAAATCTGCAGCTTTATGGGACTAGTAGCAGGCTTAAATATTTTGTTCCCAAATGACGATTAGTTTCTAACAGAAGGCAATGAAGGAGAAATGGGGAGAAGAAAGACAATGAAAAGAAACGGAGAGCACGCTTCTGTCTTTGCTTAGACGAGTCCTACCTGGCTGGTTGAGAGGTTGAAGTGCATTGCAACAGCATATGCTGTGTCCATGAACAGTTCGGGCATGCTCACCAGGTCCTCAATAGCTTGAAGCTTCAAGCCTAAGAGGTGGCGGTCTATTGCATTGCCCCTTATTGCCTGTAAGGAAGGAAGACTAGATGAAAGCTGTCTAGCAGGCAAGCAAGCAAAGCTATCAGTTTCTTTGGGTTAAAGAAAAAAGCACTTCTAAAAGATCTTTAAATGTTTAAAGTTAGAAGGAAACTCGCTCTTGCCTTTGGGACCAATAGGCAGTCTTGTTTGTAAGGACTGTGAAGTTAAACATCCAGCGGAAACAATCTTATAGTTCCTGCCTGTGGGCTCCCTCTGGTTTAAGGGGTCCTCATGCAACTTTGGCAATTACCAGTGACAGTGAGAACTAAGCTATGTTCAGATTTGATTCTCTCCTTTAGATAAGTCATAAGAGACACTTAAACCACTAGCTAGAGAGAAATTGTTAATTCCGTGGCATAGAGAACTGTCAGATCAGAGTTAGACCCATGCAATGACACTAATGGCAACATCACTATGCCAGCAGAGAAAGCTCTTCAAGTCTCATCTTTCACCAAAACCTTTATTTGCTATGTGAAACACCAAGTCTGGCTGCACAGAGGGCACTCACCATATCAGTGTATTCTCTGTGGGCCTGGGTAGCTCTCCGCAGCAAGTCTGCTTTCTCCTGGTCCTGAGAACACACAGATCTGTCTGTAAATTTTTCTGCAGAATGGAAAACCTCATTTTGGCTGTTCCTCTAGGATGGAGGGCATTTCTGCCTTGTGTGTCTATACGAGACTAATTTTCAGATTTACTAGCTTTAATTTTTAAATAATTTTGTTTGGCTGCATTACTTCATTCTGAATGGAGTTCTCCATCCACCAGTAGCAGAACTTAGTCTGAGTACCTAAACAGACTTACAAGGGACATACTTCTTTCCGGTGGGATTAGAAGTGTCCACATTTTCTTTCCCAGGCTTTCAGTACATGTGAAATAAGAGCCAAACGAAACCCAAGGTGTGTAACTCTCTACTCCAAGCTATGTTTTAGCTCAACTTCATATCATGTGCAGTTCTGCTTAGCTGAAACCAGCTGACACAGGGTTAGCCAAATAAGCAGCTTTCCTCTTTTTCTGGAGTGGAGTCCTCGTACTCCACTTCTTTGAGATCCTCACCGATTTGTCAGGGCTGTCCATTGATTGCACAAAATTAAGAGAGTCTACGGAAGTGGAGCGGATGGTGTCTGTCCGGCCCAGGCGGAACATCCTTAGCGATGCACTCTCATATGTGGCACAGGCATGGCCGTACATCCTGTAAGATGGAGAAGAAAGTCACAGAGGTGAGTTTGTCCTGAGAGGAATGGCCTCTTGTGACGCAGAATAAATGGGGGAAGGCTTTACGTGAGTGAGTTCCATTGACAGCTGACCTCTGATGCTTCCTTACTAGGACTGTACACACACAGAGGGGTAAATCTCACCTGTTGCTTGGCAGCTGCTGCAAGTGAGATCTGCTGTTCAGTCCCAGTGTGTGGGGAAAACATGGGACTTGGGAAGCAGGCCATAGCAGCCTGTGAGAGACTTCTCTGTGACACCTTTATCAGGCTTACACATTTGAGTCTGATGGGGAAGAGGTTGAGAAGCTACCTATTGGTGGTCTTACCTGTAATATGCTAGCTGCAAGGCCAGCTGGATAAAAGCATCAGGACTTATCTTCTCTGACTTGGGGAAGGTTTTCCCAAATTGATGAAAGACCGTGACTATGACATCCAGGTCTTCGACCATTCTGCAAGGACAGAAAGAGGAAGTGTTCCTTTGCTTGTTGCTTGTTCTTCTAATGTAGAAGTATGGATCTGCTTTCACAACAGGCTATCTGGATCTGACCAACACAGAGACAGAGAGCTCTATCACACATGGATTTGCTTGGGCAGCACCAGAGATGACCTTTTTTGGCCACTGCTGAAAATCTTCACCAGGTTAGATGGGTTTGCCTGTGTGTTTACATTCCAGTATCCCTCGTTAGATCCAGTAAAGTGTTGCTCTTTTCTCAGTAAATGGGATGGATCAGTAATTACCCTTTTCCAGCACCCTTGACTTTATTCCTAGCAGGCGCCTTTAGTGTGCTTTTCAGCTAGGTTCAATGCTGTGGACCCAAGAAATCACTGGGAAAACTTAGCTGCAGTGGGGAAGCCTCATTTAAACCACTGACATGTTCCAAAGCGGGACATGAATTACTCCCTTGGTCACTCACCAGATCTCTCCACTGCTTCATACTTACATGTTGAGGTTCTGCTTTGCCTTCTCTATGTCACTCTTGATTTCTGGGGTGATGTTAAACCGCAGCTTTTTGGGCATTGGCAAAGGAACCATGGGCGATCTTACCATCTCAGGTTTCTTCCTGCACAGAGAAATGATTATGTTTAACCAGACCTTTAACATGAGGCTCAGCTAAGCATACCAGAGCCCGAGTAGAAATGCACAGATCTTCCCTAACACCTTGTGACATTAGTCACAGGCTGAAAAAATTCTTCACAGTGCCATTACAGTGGTTTTTGAAGGGTATGAATGAAACATCTTCTGTGCCTTCTGCCCAAAAGAAACACCTCTCCCAGGCAACAGTCCTGTTAACTCTAAACAGTGTAATTCCCTGAGAATGGAAGCAGTAGCAAAACTTATCAGAGTAGCTTGGCCACTCAATTCTCTTCACGAGTACAAGAACTGCAATACCTGATTAGCACACCGCTACCCTTTCTCCACATCACATTCCTAGGGGGCAAGCTGTGAAGAGGCATGTTCTTGGGGAGCAGGTGGTTTAAAACCTATCTCCAAAGCTGAGGAAAAGTAAAGGAAGCAGGACTCACGTGTACTCCACGATGTGATCCAGAAGAGCAACAATGGGCGGGCCTTCTGAGGGAGCATGCTCATATACAAGACCACAGGAGCCATCTTCAGCAATGATGAACTAGGAGAGAAGCATGAGAGGACGGTGTTGAAGACAGACATCCACTACGTGAAGCAGGAGCTATCCAGAGAGATCTTAGTATATGCTCTGTATCAGAATGGACAGTGATCTTATCCTTGCATACTGGAAAGGTAACACAAAGGTCTCATTTAGCAGAACAGCAATGGAAGCCTTTCAGTGGGCCTAGAAGATCTGATAGCACTGTTACAGTTTTGTGAAATTAACTGGATAAGTGTGCACCTGATAAGTATATTGGTGTGTTCAGTGTCCTGGCAATACAGAGTGGTTCAATGGTTTTGATGTACATGCACACTTAATACAGGAATAATATCACAAACAGAGTGGTTCAATGGTTTTGATGTACTTAGATGCACACATAATACAGGAATAATATCACAGTGCACTGGCTTACCCTTACTTTTCAATTAGCGGGAACATCTAAGCTTTATTCCATCAACCAAGAGTTCCAAATAGGAACAAAATAGCTGAAAACATTATGAAGAGTTCAGCAGATACGAGAAGAATCTTTTAAAGCACCATTGCTACTATCCACAAGCCAGGATATACAAACTAATGAAGGAGAAGCTTGAATAGCAGCTGCTGTTTAACGCTCAGTCTTCTGAGTGAAGAGATCAGAGGGATGCTGTGGAATGGCAGCTTATGTTTGAAAAAAAAAAAAAAAAGCAAAACAAAAAAGCCATCAGGCAGCTTCTGGCAGAAATAGGAGAAGTGACAAGCTTAGGGGAGCTACAAGGAACAGACCTCCCTATATTTGGGCTGCCTCCAAGCAGATGAGGCATTGTTCACCGCAGGCAGAAAATTGATTTACAAGGAACACAAAGAACTGCTACACTGAATAAGTGTGGGGAGAGGCAGTAAAAGAAACAAAAGTCCCCGAGGCAGGAATGAGTGCTTGTGGTGACTGCAAGGGAAACCATAGGATCTCATACTGTCAGCCACCACGCCCTCTCTCTCTCTGTTTCTCCACTCTCTTGATATGAGGAAAAACTGCCTGCGAAAGTTTTCTGGGATTTCGTGGACCTTTGTAGTCTCAGGAAAAAACATGTCCTCTAGACCCATGTCTTTAGACCATCAGCACTTACTTGAAGGGTTTTGTCAAACCATCGGTTCCCACTGTTCCAGCGACTGCCTCCACCATGCAGCATCTGAGCGGCCACACGGCTCTTGTAGATGTCCTCAGACACCCGTGGCATAGGGGCATCAAGGCAGACAGTGCAAATGCTCTTCTCAATCGTACGCACAGATTCCTTGTTGGTCTTATCTGGGAGAGAAACAAACGGCAAATAAGGAAGGGGAGTTGAAAAACTTACATTTTAATTGGAAGGAGATTGAAATTTGAAAGAGCAGGTTTGAGGGACCCATTGCTGGATTCCCATTGTACCTCAGTGGTCATTTAGGGGTGTATGTGGTTATTAGAATTGTAGCCAGCTGGGTTGTTACAGATGTGAATATGCTGCATTCACTTTGCTTTTTTCATGTTCCTTACATCCCACCCATTTGCAAGGCAACAAACTCTGGAATTTCAGGTCTAACAAACCAAGCTTCAGAGTTCACCTGTGTACCTTCCAAAACAGAAATAACAATACTTTGCAATGAAATCAAGTTGCTTCTTTGAGGTGGAAAGCTCACGTTATCTGTCCAAAACAAGCTTTCAAATGAAAAAACTGAGTAGAGCACAGTGGTGAGGTTGGTAGCTCAAGCATTTGTGGTGTTTGTTAGCACTTGCTTGTTAGGGACTCTACAAACCTTTTAGAAGGTTGTTGTAGGCTTTTGCCCAGCTGTTTCGGTGGTTGGTGGTGAGGATCCCAATAGGTTCTTTGTTTGTTTGGAGGGAGGTGTTCCATATCTTCTCTAGCTGAATGAAGAGCTGGTCAGTGGTAAGGGGACTTCCATCGCTGTTGTAAACATCCAGCTCAAAGAACTGAAGGTGAGAAAAGTGGACAAGGACAGAGACAGAACATGAGAGAAGACCTCTGTTATCTGGCCCCAGAAACAAGGAAGAGCCACTTTGAGGAGGTAAGACCTGACCTAAGAACTCAGCTTGTAAGCAGACCTTTGAAGGATGCTCAGAATTGAGAGACCCAAGTCAAACTTCCCTTGCAGGGCATAAACACAGTCCAAGTTTTAAGAAGCTCAGAAACCATGGTAGTGAGGGCCAAAACACACGAGGAATTCCTGTTTCTGAGACTCAGCTGTGGTGGTAGGGTTTGTTATCCAATTTCCAATTCCAGCCATGATCTCAGGGCTTTGAGAGACAGGAATTGCAGGGACAAGAAACAGAGGAAGAGAGCATTTTTCTGCCTCGTAGTCTATTGCTCACACACAGCAATCCCAGCTGTTGGCC